GCTGCTTGGCCTGCTGTGTTCATCCAGCCCTGCACCTTGTTGTCTCGGATTCTCCAGCATCTGCAGTTCCTACTATCTCTCATTAATTTTCTGTTGTTGATACAAAAGCAGTCACTCCCCGCTAATTCATGAGTTCAGGTCACATTCAAGAGAGACTTGAGTTACCTGTTCATGCTTGCATTCTAATGCAGTATTGTGACAGCATGTGCTATCATTCCAATGAGACATTAAACCAAGGCCCAGTCTGTCCTCTCATATGGACATGTGGTTCCATGGCACCATTCAAAGCAAGGCTGCGGATTTTTACATTGTACTGATGCTACAAACAACATTACTAAAACCAATTTTCTGGTCATTTTCAAACTACTGTTATTCTTTTTCAGTGTGGAAGTTGACTGATGTGATTCTTACATTACAACAGTGGCTACATTCCGAAACATAAAGACTGTAAAGCTTTGGGATGACCTGAGGGTGTAACAAACACTAATAGGAAAACAACTTGCTTTCACAAGCACCTATATAAATGTAAATGTTTTATTCTCTCTTAATGGTTTTGATTCAGTGGGATGCCTGAGGTAGACAGCTCACAACTCAGCAAGGATCTGTTCTTGATTAAAGCAACAAGTGTGAATGGTGTAAACACATCAGATGGAGCAGGAGGGGTGATGGGGTAGAGCAAAATAAAATCAACAGATCACAAAGAACAAGCATACAGTGCAACGGCTGGCTGACTGACTCAATTGATCAAACACAAATGTGAACTAATGCTCAAGAGACAGGAGTTCAAATCTCACCCTGCACCTGGAGAAATTAATTTCAGTGAATTAAATAAATCTGGAATAGAAGATGTTAGTAATGTTGGCCGTAAACTGTTGGATGGTTAGAAAAGCCCATCTGGTTCACCGATGTTCTTTAGAGAAGGAAATCTGTAAGCTTTACTATATACAATTCCAGACCTATAGAAATATTTTGACTCTGCTCTCCTCTGAAATGCTCTGGCATCAGCCATGTTCAAGAAAATCACTCAATGCCATCTCCTCGAGGATAATTAGGGATGACAATAAGTGCTGGTGTTGCCGAGATCCACATCCCCTGAATGAATAGTTTCAAAAAAGACAATGCTAATTGATCAGTGAGGAAAGACAGTGTCGTGGCTGATGATGGATCCTGAATTGATGTATTAAGGCCTCTCCAGTTGCTGTGAGGCTTGAATAATAGTAATTGCTTGGACCCAAGTAGAAGTCATGTACGCTTTGTGCCTGGCATAAATCTGCTTTGAGGATTATTGGGTTATAGCTGCCTCCAATAGTACAGAGAAACCCCCCCACTGTTGGGAACGAACAAACTTTGCTAACAGCAGTGCTGTCTTCACTTCCAACTCTCATCATATTTTGCACTGTTAGTTCTCAACAAAATCATCTTGCATTTATTTTGCATCTCACTGGAGCATTGAAACCATGAAATTGAATAATGTAGAAGGAGGCTGTTTAGGGCTCTGACCAACATTCCTTCTGTTTTCTATTATGAGGTGTGGTCATCACTGGCAATGTCAGCATTTGTTGCCTGTCTCTAATTGCCTGTGAAGTGAGTGGCTTATCACCAGACTAAA